ACATTTACCACAAATTAAAGTTATCTTATATTATTAGATATATTATTATAAAATATGCTTTGGTTAAGGAGTTATTGATACTTCAAGTGCAAAATGATGATATAAAACCATGATAAAAATGCACTTTTAAGTACTAATCAGCCACACATATCAGCGTTTGGTAAAGAAAAAAAATGATTTTCCATGATAGTACCCACCAACTTTGCAGCTGTGCTACAGGTTTTAGAGAAGCAGCATTTCTAATGAAATGATTTTGCTGCTTCTCGTGGGGATTTCTAATGAACAGTGGAGCATGGCTCCACTGTCGCATTGTTTACATGAGCAGTTTTTTTTTTTTTTGAAAAACTAGTACAGTTAATTGATTTCACTCGCACTGTTCACGTGAATGTGAACAATATTTTTTTTTTGTTTTTTAAAAATTAGTTTAAGGTGAATTAAATTTACTTGCACTGTAATATCAATTTTATTCTTAATAATATCTTACCTAATTTTGTAATTCTTGTCGGATAAATTTTGTATGTAATGGAATTGTAGATAGTTTAATGGAACAATAAATTTATAATATATATATATATATATATAGTATGATTTATTTCATGATGTAATAGAAATAGTTAAATCCATAATATTTAAATTAAAATTATGAATATTAATATATATTTTTTTAAATTATTTTATAACCTTAATTTCAAAAGTATTCTTAACCAAACACATTAAATTATTTTTTCTTCAACCTCAATTTTAACCACAGTTTTAACTAAACATCTATTTTTTCAAATCAACCTCAACTGAAAATATTTTTTATAAAACAACTTTTTTCAAATAACAATCACAACAGCTACTATAATACTAAACACACAAAGTCCACAATGATTTGTCTCTTGGTCCACAATGCATTCATGTATAAGTAGAAATCCCACACGATGTAGAATTATATTAATATTGAAGTTTAGTTTTTCTTGTTTTTAGAAAATATACTTTTTTTAAGGAATTGATGATAAATTTTAACTAATGATAAAATTGATATGTCTTTTATTTTTAGGACAAACTCAAATTTCTTTTTACAAGGTGATTTTCTAAAAAAATAATAATAAATAAATAAATAGAACAATTAGAATAATTAATGGTAATCACAAAAATCAATTTAGAAGAAAAATGTATAACAAAAGTAATAATTTTTAAGAAAACATGTTATAAGAGTGATCAAGTGTTTTTTCTTTGAACATAACTAATTCTTTATCTGAATTTTCAGAATCAATATATATTTTAGTATCTTTAATTTTCTTTAATTACCAGTTAGCACCTCCTAAATTTTTTACTATATATATTTTACTATTTGTCGTGATGTTTGTGCGACAACAGTTATAAGAGACTTTGTGCCATCAATTATCTACTGCTGCTTGGAGAGTGACGATTTCCACCCAACCTGCGATCTTTCAGGTTCTTCTTCCTTGGTAGTGATGAAACTCCTTTCATTGTGATGTCTCAATTTTACAATAAACTCCCTGCTTTAAATGAATTCCTGGCACATTCTAAACTTGGATATTTGACATTCATGTTGTTAAAGAAACTATCTCGATGTAAGTTTAAAAACATTTTGTTTTTTTAAAAAAAAAATACGTGATCATGTGCGAATAGAACATGACTTACGACCTCCCTAAGACATTTTCAAGAGAGTGGTAGTCTAGACATTTTATGTAAAAAGGGTTAGTGACAAACCTCTCTTTGGGGTTAACATGATAGTATTTTATTTTTTAAAAACGCGGTTGATATATTTCTTTAGGGGATTTGGACTTATTATTGGCTTAGGACAAATATACAGGCATAGAGTTTGTCCAATATATGCTTGCTTCAAGTGTTCAAAATTCACTCTTGCGTCATCGATGATAATAAATAGAATATTTGTGAAGTCGTAACTCTTTTTAAGTATTTTTCTTCATGTTGTTTGAGGTTGCATCTTATCAATTATAGAAGGCGCTTTTTTTATTATAAAGAACTTGTAAAATTATATAATATAGACTATGGTTCAAGGATATAAAAAAATAGGGATTCATTGACTTAAAAAATATTTAAAAAATTTAAAAGACTAGGATCCCCTTTGATATTGATATCTTGTTTTTCGTTGTATACTCCTTGTTGCCCAACTTTCCTTGTCACCTTTTTTTTTTAAAAAAAAAAAGTTTACTTTGCCCTTTACTATAAGCTAACGAGGTTTTAAAAAAAAGTTTACTTTGCCCTTTACTATAAGCTAACGAGGGACACCTTTTGCTTTGTTGCAACTTTTTTTTTTCTCGTACCCTTTAGCATCTTGCTTTATGATGTTAAGGCTGGCTTTTCTCTACTATAATTTCGTTGGGGTTTTTCTTAGAGCATCATTAGTCTTTTGTCTTTTGTGATTTTTTTTATCCTTATTGATCATAATTTTAAAGCAAGGTATGGTATGCAAAGTAAGGATGGGTTTGGGAAAGCAAATAAGAGGTTAATATGAAAAAAATCGACCCGATATGAAGTGTAGCTCATGCCACAATTTTAGTAAAAGACTAGTTGTTGTGATATCTGCAATAGATGTCAAAAACAGTCCACCAATTATTTTTACACAATCACGAAACTTCCAATCAGTGTCCAGGTCATCTTTTGATAGTATACTCCTAAGTCATAACAGTGGATATCATAGTATAGTGGTTTGTCTAACTATGATACTGTCTAATTCTGCACAGAAAGCTTTTATTTGGTAATGGTGGTTTGGAACTTCTGACAAATCAGGTAATTTTTATTTCCAAACCAACGCAACTGCAGAACCGACCAGCCAATGGTCAGATCAATTCTTCTTCTTTTTTATTATTTTTTTCAAAAAGGCATTTCTGTCAGCAGATTCAACTGGTACGTGACCCACTACTGGAACCCAAATTTATGGGAGGCCTATAAAAGGAGAGGAAAATGGTCTTATTGTTACCACTAAGCTCATCAGTCCTATTATTAAATCCACAGCTAACTTTTATGGAGAAGGATTGTACTAAACAGCATCTCCTTCAACATCTTCTTCTTCTCGTTTTCTATCTGGTAATATTCTTCATTCCCAATATTTCCAAGGCCCTTGCAAATCCAAGAGCCACAAAGCGGAGCTAAATATTTAAGCTTATGTTCAATCCATGGTTTCTTATGTTTAATTACCACAAGGGTGTAAGTGTGAGTATGTTGCTAATATATATATATATATATATATATATATGATCAGAATATACAATTAATTATTTGAGTTTGTATAACCAGCTTCATATATCGGTATCAAAGAGTCTATACCTCCGTATTTAGACCCTACTCTTAGCATCAAGGAGCTTATGACTGGAGTTAGTTTTGCTTCGGCTGGCTCCGGATTTGATCCTCTTACACCAAAAGTGTCCGTACGTCTCTCTCTCTCTCTCTCTCTCACACACACACACACACAAAAACACAAACACGAACACAAAGCGGAGCTAAATATTTAAGCTTATGTTCAATCCATGGTTTCTTATGTTTTAATTACCACAGAATGTGATCGGCATACCAAAGCAACTGGAGAACTTTAAAGAGTATAAAAAAAGACTGGAGTCCGCAATTGGAACGAAAAATACCGAAAATCATATCAACAAGGCATTGTTTATCGTCAGTGCTGGCACGAATGACTTCGTTATCAATTACTTTACTCTGCCAATCCGACGAAAAATCTACTCCCTCTCAGATTACCAGCAATTCATCCTGCAAAAAGCCACGCAATTCCTTCAGGTTTTGTATTGGGTTTACGTTCACTTTAGAATTATATTAAATTATTTTTCACCTTAAAAATTTATTTGCACTTGAAAATCACTCTACACAAAAATTTAGTTAGTGTGATGATTAATTTATGAATTTCCAAACGAAAAATATACATTTCACATCACAGTATCAAATATGTAAGCAAATTGTCTTAACTTTTGACAGCATCACAGGATCCACAACTTGATTCCAATCCATTCATCCCTTTACTTTCAGTAACAGATAGGTACCGGAGCTACAAAACCCGGCCTAATTTATACTTAACTCTTGTTTTTAATGTCGACGATGATCGAAAGACTATTCAATTATTTAGATACTATAAAACTAGTTAATTAATTTCAATTAATCACTAGGACTAATTTGTAATTAACTCTTGTTCTTACCATTATCCTTAATTTCTAAAGACTTGACAGCTCCTCCTCTCAGACCAAGAAAACAAGACTTATGACTAGTATTATTAACTATGGGGCATTTATCCCAGATTATTTAACCAAATTATAAGTTTTGATATTATTGTGCTTGACAGCATATGCTATAAAAAATATAACTGATACTACATTATGCGATGATTTTAGGATTTGTTTGAGCAAGGAGCAAGAAGAATCTTATTTAGTTCACTACCTCCAATGGGTTGCCTGCCAGTCGTCATCACCATGTTCTCGAAGCATGCCATCTCAGAACGTGGTTGTCTTGATAATTATTCCTCCGTTGGACGGCAGTTCAATCAGTTGCTACAAAATGAGTTAAATCTCATGCAATTTCGATTAGCAAATCATGGTGTTAGGATCTATTTAACTGATTCGTACGTAGCTCTGTCCGACATGATTCAAGGGCAAGGAAGGCCTGGTGAGTCAATATAAAATCTCTAAAATTAAACTGAGAAATATATATATGTATATATTCTGATCATGTTAGTAATTTATTTTCCCTCCTCCCTTTCAAGAATTTGATGAAGTAAGCCTTGGCTGCTGTGAAACCGGTTACTTGGAAACAGCACTCTTGTGCAATCCAAAATCATTTCTGTGTCCTGATGCATCAAAGTACGTATTTTGGGATTCAATACATCCCACTGAGCAGGTATACAACAATGTTTTCAAGTCCCTTCGTCCAATAATTGATGCTATCATCAGGGACTAAAATTCATTTATTTTTCATCATAGAGAATGTTGTGGAGGGGAATTTCCTATTTTTTTCTCGTTCCTTTACGGAAATTGTATACAATCAGAAGTCATCATGTATGACCAATAATATTTAATGGAGAAAATAACTATGCATGTGATATGTCGCCTTCCTAAAATAAAATGGTGATGGAAATAATTAAGAAAATCAGATTCGGCATTAAAATTACTAGAAAAAAACTAACACTGGTTCTAAAATTTAAGATATAAAATTTTATATATATATATATATATATTTAAAAAAACTATACCTCGTGATATAAAAACAATGATGCCTTGATTCAATTGATTTCTATGGTTTTTTAGTCCTCAAACTCTTAGTTTCTACAAGTGTGTCATGATTTTTTATTATTTTGGTTTAATTCTCACCTAATGACAAAACTGTGGTAGGAATATTGTTTATTTTTCTTTGAAAATGAAGATATTTTTTATTATTTTTTATAAAAAAAAAAAACTTCGTGATTAACTAACTTTTGTTTTTATGGACATGATGGCGTGAAATTGGATTTCTCAATATCTAGTATACAATGCTTCATAATTTAACCGTGGTTTAAATTTAACCTCGGTAGTATGTGATGCTGTGAATTGATGTAAGTTTGTACATTTCTCTTTGATTATTTTGGTTAATTATCACCCAATCATGTTTTGTTTTTACCCAATAATCAACTTGATTACTATAAAATCCTTAAAAAGGTTTTGTAGACTGTGGTGTTTTGAAAAAATTGTAAATAAAAAATATTGTTTTGTTTTTATTGAATAATTGACTATACATTATAGTAAAATTCTTCAGAGTGTTTTGTCCTCGTGATAATTGAGACTTTTTTATTTTTAAATAATGAGTTTTATTTGAAAAAATAACTTAAGTATGATAAAATCATTAAAAAAGCTATATTATCATGAAGTGGGGACTTCCACTATTTTCATAAAAAATATTTATAAACAATTTCTTACAAATATTACTTGCTTATTATATATATATATATATATATAGATCTTGTTATTCATGCCACCTTATCAACGCACGCAGACTTAAACTATGTCAATGTGACCTAAAAAAGAGCTAATTGAGTTGGGTTGCGAGCTTGAGGATCATTGTAGAACATAGCCTAGCTAAAAAATGGCCTAAAACCCCAATTTATTAACCATTATTATTTTGGATCCAATACTTAAATTCAAAAAATAAGGATTAGATCTTATTATTAATCTAGATTTCAAATTATTGTCTTAGATTTTAGTAATTATTTACTATAATATTATTAAATCTAGATTTCAAATTATCGTCTTAGATTTTAGTAATTATTTACTATAAACATGCATATTTATACCTTTTGAGGCAATTTCCTAGAAAGAGCCCAAGAATTACTTGTATTATAAAATAAATAACAAAACAACTTATTAAAAATTATTTTAAAGTGAGTAATATGTTCTTTTTTTAACATATCACAACTCATAGCAGAGCACTAAGTAGTATTTAGATATATGGTTTTCACACTCCCACACCTTAAAACACCACTCCAGCTAATTTTATATTCTTTGGATTGACAATTATATATAACCCTTGCAAAATCTTCTATTACCAGACCTCTCTGTACTTGTATCCCCTCTTGAAGCCTCATCAAAACTTCACAGCATGCATTCCATGCATGGAGTTTTTATTCAATAATATCTCTCGCAAATTATCAGCAAAACAAACTTAATTTCTTTAATTTCTGTACTTAATTACTATTTCAGACTATCCATCCATGTTAGATGTTAGCCTTTGAACGACATTAATTGATTAATTATTGTCCAATGAACTCTTCGAATTTGTTCAAATTAATTTTAAATTTTAAATTTTAGTTATTTAAGCTCTGTGTGTATGTTTTCCGTTAGATTTACCATAATTTGATATTGGACCAAAGACAGCCATGTCATGATGGGCATATTGTCCACTTGATTCCATCTCTACAAACAACATTAAATTGGAAATTAAGAAATAAATAAAGAGAAACTGAAAAAATAAAGCATTAACGAAAAAGTTAAACATTGATGCAAATAAAATATATTTAACTGTGGAATATCCTAGGAAAATTAAAATAAATAAAAAATCAATTGAAATTAACAAGAAAATAAAGAAGAAAAATACAAATTCATATTCAAATATTTCCATAACTAAAATCTATCTCCTTGATCCATCTCTTATTGATTACTTATTATTATAAAAAAAATGCAATTAATAAGATTTAACTTTTAGTTTTAGTTATTAATTACTTCATTTCTTTTAGAATTTTATTCAACTTCATAAATTTTAAATATATTTTACTTTTATTTATTTATTTTTTATGTTTCTAATTTCAATTTAATGTATAGTGCGAAATCAAGTGAACATGAGCCATCATTACAGTAGCTACTTTCAACTAATTAAGAGATCATGGTCAATATAATAGGAAAATGGATGGAAGATTTAAAATAATAAAAATTTGAAACGAAAAGGTTTCATTTGACCAAATTGTAAATAGAGAGGATTCGATAAATTCACATAATAGTGGGGTATCATGTTTTTTTAACCTATTTTTAATGGGAGTATGACCCTTGACAATAACAGTTTTTTGGCTAATAATTAATTAGCTGATGTTATTCACATAATAGTGTTTTGTACTGTATTTTGGGTGGTTTTAAAAAATAATAATAATGTAAAGTGTAATACATTTAGCTTGAAAATATATTACATTGAATTTATTTTAGTATTTTTTTATAGTTTTGATGTGATGATATTACAAAGTAAATACATATCTATATCTATATCTATATCTATATCTAAAAGTAAATATATATCTATATCTATATATATATATATATATATTATTTTAATATATTTACAAAAAAAAAAAACTTTTAAAACACTCTAAACACACATTAAGTTACAAATACAAATGAATGGTTTAAAATAGTATAATTGGGTTAGTTGATAAGTTAATTATAACCCTTCATGTGGAGATGTTGATTTTACTAATTTAATAATATAGTAAAATATAAAATTCTGTGTGTCTCGTTGCATTTTTCGGGTTCTAACCTAATATATATACCTAATTTTTGGCCTAATTATGGACAACAAGGTAGTTCTAAGTTCAAAGATCACTACTGCTCTGCAAAACAGTATTTGATTTCATCAAAATAAGTCCACGTTTCTTGTCTAGCTTAATTTGGGAGATGAAGTTGCTTGTGGTGGTGGGTTTTTAGGCAGTGAGCAGACAAGGAGATGGATGGAAAGAAGGTCATCAAGAGGATATAGCTACCAGTTTGTTTGTTATAAAATAAATAAAGGATCCCTCAATCTCAATGTGCCAAAGAGATGGCCAATTGGGTGCGGTGTCAAGCTAAGTGAGAAAATGGAACATGGTTTGATTTCCACTACAAATCTAATAGGTTTGAATCTCGTTACCAAAAAAACATCACTTTGAAAAAAACAAGGACGTTCTGTCAGAAAATCCAACTGGTACGTGACCCACCAGTGGAACCCAAATTTATGGGAGGCCTATAAAAGGAGAGGAAAATGGCCTTATTCTTACCTATCCATTCGAGACTGATCAATATCAAGCCGCTAAGCTCATCAGTCTTATTATAAAATCTACAGCTAATTAACATTTATGGAGAAGGCTTGTTCTAAACAGCATCTCCTTCAACATCTTCTTCGTCTCCTTTTCTATCTGTTAATCTTCATTCCAAGTATTTCCAAGGCCCTTGCAAATCCAAGAGCTTCCAATAATTCAGCTCCGGCAGTCATAGTGTTCGGAGACTCGACTGTCGATCCTGGAAATAACAACTACGTGAGAACAGTTTTTAAGGCTAATTTTGCACCCTATGGAAAGGATTTTGCAAACCATGTCCCAACAGGAAGGTTCAGTAATGGGCGGCTAACCCCTGATTTTATCGGTAAGTTATCAAGTATTCATTTTGATGGTGTAAGTGTGAGTCTGTTGCTAATATATATATATATATGATCAGAATATATAATTAATTATTTGAGTTTGTATAACCAGCTTCATATATCGGTATCAAAGAGTCTATACCTCCGTATTTAGACCCTACTCTTAGCATCAAGGAGCTTATGACTGGAGTTAGTTTTGCTTCGGCTGGCTCCGGATTTGATCCTCTTACACCAAAAGTGTCCGTACGTCTCTCTCTCTCTCTTCACACCAAAAGTGTCCGTACGTCTATCTCTCTCTCTCTTACACCCACCGTTATACCTAAGGCAGGCTGCATTGCTGATCTTTGTTCTTAATTGCTAACATTTTTTTTTTGTTGATTTATACTATGATTGTTTATGTGTAATATTCCTGACTCTGGCACCAGTGAATATTCAACTACGGATATTT